CAGCTGTCAGTTTTGCTTTGCTGCTGGCTGCTTGCCTGGAAAGGGAGGGGGGAGTGCAGGTGGACAGGGTTCAGAAGGAATTCAAACCCTTATTAAGTAGGTGTCCAATATAAAAAATTAGGGTCCCAAAAAAGTTAGCATTATTCAGGAACCATTTTTCAAACATGGGGTCTGGAATAATTTTGGAAACATTTAGCATTATAGAGGGCCCATTTACTAATCAGCGTCCAACATTATATAAGATCGTGGCTGCCTTGGCACAAAAGTGGATCATGAGATCATGACAACAGCGAGTCTTGGAACTGTTGTTTTTTGATGAACTCAGAGGAAAAAAAAACATGATATCATGCGAGGGTGAATGACATGTGTTTGCAGCTTCTGAGGTCTCTGACGTCGACTTCAACAAGTGAGTCATGATAGCCATGGACCAGCATGTCAACAGTCTCTCTTACTGGTCTGCCTTCGGCACGTCCAATAGTGGATCATGAACAGCCCACGTGTATTTACCAAGAATGATGATGGTGTTGAGGGTCACCCACTGCAAAACACATGCCCTCAAGATAGGAATGCCCTGAAGCCTGAATGACACTAATGACTAAAAAATACATGCATATGTATATAATATATATAAATATGCTTGTCATTGGTGATCTGATTACCTATGTATACGTATTACTATTTATATCTATGTATGTACTGTAAATCATATGCAGAATTGCCGACAAAGCACCAAACTTTGGACCAGCAAACCTTGTTAGCTTCCTAAAATCACTCACATAATTATCTGACAAAATTAAGTTTAAACATGGTCAAACACATCGCTTGACTTACAAAAGATTGATGCTACATATGCTACACACACACACATCTCTGTCCAGGCATGCGATTGCCCAAATATGGTCAGTCCAATCTTGCAGTCTCCTCCAAGCCCTTCTGGGACTCCTGGCCACAAGCGGTGAGCTGGTGACACAAGCTGCGATGATGTCGTGCCCAACCGCAGGTGTCTGGATGATCGTCGTTCTTGAGCGAAAGATCTTTGGTCGCTGAATGTCACCATATAGTCGATTGAAAAACTAAGACCAATGATGATCCTCTCACAAAAAGAAAAGGGCCCAGCCGCCCAACAAATCAAAGATACTCAAACCCAACACAACACCGTGCGCCCGGGTACGCAACAATGGTGCCACGCAACAATGGTGCCTGGCGGAGCTTGTGGACTTCCAAGGCCATGGCATCTTTCAGCTCAACCAATTCGTTCTTCAAGGCACCCTGCACCGCCTCTCTCATGCTCCTCATGCATCGGTCGAAGCAGTTTGAGGATTTGCGGGGGAGCATCTCTGGCGAAGGGTTGTGGGAGCCTGTGTTGTTGGTGAGAAGGGTGAAAGGAACAGAAGAGAGTGGAACGTGTTGAGTCGAGACTGGCTTTGAGTCGGGACCTGAAAGACTGGCACACGGGGTGCCTTGGGGATCCTTGGGGAACCTTAAGTGGCTAGATGGGCTAGGTCCAAGGGTTGCTGGATTGTCGGGTTCAAAGACTCCTTGTGCAAACCCAAGCATACAAAAAATAAAACATATAACTATCAAAAACTGCCTACATCGTCATACATCCGCTACTATAAATGTGCTACCTCCCCGGCCTGTTAAACCATAACCGTCGATTCATGCTGGCTTTATCTAATCTTCATAGGTTCACCTCTTCGCTCCCATACCCCCCGACCTCTCACGTGAAAGCTGCTGTTCCAGTAGCACTGCCTGTCCAAGACTCAAAACAGGTCAGGTGGATGATTCCAGCCGTTCAGTCAGCCGAAAGAAAATTAGACTCTTGGAGTTGTCCAAGAAGTAGATTCCAGCATATGTTCAAGGCGATTCTCTATCTGTCTGCCTGACTGCCTGCCTCTTGCCTGACTGGCTGACTGACTGGTTCTTCCTTTTTGCTGCTCTCTCTCTCTCTCTCTCCAAATTCTGTTTTGGGGATGGTTATATGATGTTATATGATATATGGGTCTCTCTCTCCAGCATCTAATCCCCAACACTTGAACCTGATGATTGGCCCGAGTTGAAAAAGCACACCTGATGCCCTGCATCACCCATCAGTGGTCCATCTGCAACTCTACAAACCACTCTGAGTGATCCGATGGATCAAGGTCTGCAAGAACGTCATGCCACGCAAATGAAGACAACTACCCATCACCCCAAATTCCTTCCGCAAACCGCCTCACGGTCCTACCCACATTCACTCACTCACCCATACAACCCATCCAACCGCGGTACCGCTTCCCCATCCGTCCCCCCTTTGCCTGGTGCTTCCCCTCCGCTTGCTTGTGCGCCGTCTCGGCGTGCTGGGTTCGAAGCTCCCCGAGGATCTGCCGCAACAAGGCCCAGCGGAGGACACCCGATTCTTCCCGTGCACGCTCCAGGTCCAGCAGGGCCTCCTCGCTGGTGCCTGGCGAGAGGGGTGAGGGATGAGGGAACGAGTCCGGACACCGGTGTCCAAACGGTTTCTCAAAGGAAAGACGCCGCTTTTCAGATTTCTCTGGTGGATGAACGGCTTGGTTGATGTGAGTAAGCATGCTTGCCGAGTACGTATGTATTTGCATGTATATCAGGCGTTGCATATTGTTTGTGCACTTTAAATGCTGTTACTGACTACTGTAATAGTTTGCCGGCATGATACGTGGATTTGTTCAGTCCCAGTTGATCCCAGTTGTGTCAGAATTGTGGGTTTGGGTCAACCCCCTTACAGCCCCCTTACATCTCGTAAGCTAGGCAAGCAACTTCAGTTCCTCCTTGCAGGTCGCCCCGGTCGGGGAACAAAAGCAAACGCGTATATTGCTCAACATATTGCTGTATCCGTGGAAGTTGAGCTCCCCAGACGGAGCGTGTTTTCTTGGCCGTGACACGGTATCAGCCGTTCTCGTCTTCCCATCGGTTGAAGAAGGTGATATGAAGTGACCCTATATATCTTAATCACAATATATCAACAGATTCTCTAAAGGGCGCCACAATATCTCACCGCAAAGAAATCGGTAGAAGCGAGTTGAGGGATCAGTTGCTCACCCATCAGGTTTTGACAAGTTGCTCACACACAGCTCGCCCTCCTTCATGGCTGCTTGAGCTGCGTCCTGTGAGCCACTCAAAGCCGCTGAAGGAGGCAATTCCTTCTTTGCAACTGCAACCTGTTTGAAAAGGCCTTCACGCAAAAAATGCATCCCCCCCCCAAAAAAAAAAACACTTTTGATGCAAGTCTTGGCCGAATGTCCTCCCAAGTTGTCAATGGCCTACTTTGTCAGAGTCTTGGTTCTGCTGGCCATGTTATTGCCAGTAGCAGTGTACACACATATATATATATAGTATACACATATAAAATATACAAATATTTAGATAGGTAGTAGGTAGATGTAAGTATATATATATAATTGTAAATAAGTGAGTCATGTCCATTGCTGAAAGCAAATTTTGATTGCTTGAGAAACACTGCCTTCTGGGGAAAGGAACCCTCTACACCTCTCTGCTTTCAAGCCTCTCGCTCAATGCAGTTAAATGTACTTGACTCACACAGCTGCAACATGCTGCAACTCCTTCCCCACCATCTCCTTCACACCCCAAACTCACCCCTCTCCTAAGCCCTGAACCCCTCAGCTCCATCTTCACCCACCGACCCCACCGACCCACCGACCAGCCACCGCACCCCCACCGTCCTCGTCGGTCTTCAAGCGTCCCTCAGGACCCATGAGGTCAAACCTGGACGGCGAGCGCGGTGCCGCCCGGGCGCGGGGGGTAAGGGATCAAAATAAAAATAAAAATAGAATCAAAAACAACATATTCAACGGGGATCAATAAAAAAAATAAAAAGGTAATCAAAAAAAATATTCTAGCCCACTGAGGATGGTTGGGGTAGTAGTAGTAGCAGTAGCAGTAGCAGTCAGCAGCAGCAGCAGCAGGAGGAGTGGTAGTAGTAGTGGTAGCAGTAGCAGTAGTCACGGCGTTCACACGAAGTTAGGCCCTACATGGCGTTGTCAGAGCGCTCGGAGACAGAAGGACTAGGATACCAGGGGACCAGCGGACCACAGGACCAGGAGACCGGAGGACTAGGGGACCAGTGGACTCAAGGACCAAGGGACCAGGGGACCAAAGGACCAGTGGACCAGAGGACCAAGGGACCACATTGCCAGAGGACACGCAGAAGGCCAGGAGAGCAGCAGAAAAGGCCTATCAAGGAATATTTATTTTTTGATTCGCTTTTTATTTTTTTGATACTGTTTTTATTTTTTTTGATGCTCTTTTTTTTTTGATACCTATGCCGGGCGCGGGGGCGGTGGGGGTCCAAATGAGGTCGAAAGGACAAACGGGAGTATTGATTGGTGTAAAATCCAGGTGAGTGTTCCTTCCACGCATCGTGAGCGGTGACATGGGAGTTGTTTTTTTTGGTGATCCCTGACCAACTTGCAAGTCGAGCACGGCGCTGGCAGTGCAAGGCGACGTGTGGTGACAAGTGCGGGAGTTTAGTGTAAAATTCCAGGTGAGAATCCATGCTCGTTTGATCTCTCACACCCGCCACCCCTCCTCACCCACAACAAGCACCACTGCCAAGATCGAAGACGGTGCGTCAGGTCATCTCTACATGCAAATCCATCCGAAGATGGTCTTGGTCGAGTTCATGTGCCGATTCAGAAATTCACTCCAACTCGGATTTGCTTCACGAACCGGGAAAACAAGATTCCCAGAAGCGGACTTACCCATCATAGGGCCATATAGCGGAAAAAAGCCACATATGAATCACCGAAAGCAAAACCAATCCAACCTCACCCCCAAACCCAGAATCACCTGCTGCTTCTTCACCTCACGCAGCACGGATCGGGCCGAGCTGCGGTGCTGAGAGGTTGAAGGCGCCCGCCACGCGGCTCTTCAATGCTGCAAGGCCATCCTCGGGTGCCAAGGGCACCTTGGCGCTAGAGCCGCAAAGGTTCACCTGCAAGACTGAAGCAGTGGGATAACAGGAACATCTCAGTTGTGGTTGACTTATGCCCTGCTTCAACTTGCTGGAGGGTTTCTGTCTTGATTAACAAGGTCATGCATGTGTATTTACAATTATTGACCATTTACTGTGTCCAGTTTGCACCTGCCTAGGTTTTTTGAACACGCGATGCCTAGGCATGTGATTATACCATACAAAGAGGCTGTCCACAAATCGGGCCCTCACCTGCAGGCCCTCGGTCATGGGCCCTCGGCGTCGCGTCTGGCAGCTGGGTTTGAGCCTGTTCGCCTTTCGAGATGCATTTGGTGAGCTGTTTAGGAAGGCAGGAAGGGACAAAAGATGAACACATACAAACCAAATCAAATCCAAACAACTTTTTCCAGGGGAGAATGTTAACAACCGGATTAAGTGGATTGTTCAAGACTGTTCTGTGTGATCACTCTAGCAAGCCTATGAAACCATGTGACTGGGACAATGCCGTGCTCGACAAATTACAACGTCGAGTCTAGCCCGGGCCTTCACTCACAACGTCAAGTGATGGATACTAGCCACAACTCAAATAACCCCTTGGATCAGCAATTCATGACTTTGTTTGCCGGTTCTTCAGGATTGCGACAATCCAATCTCTCAGTAGATGTGGTTTCCTCCAGAGGTGTCTCCAACTCATGTGCCGGTGGTGGAGAGATTCGCCCCAGGCAATGGTCAAGACTTGGGGCAACACATCCACATCTGTGAATATTGTTTGGAGGTTCATGGCCCTATATATACCTACACCTCCCTTGACCTTTCTTTTTAGATACCCTTTTCAAAAAACATCCCTTCGTCAAAAAGACTGTCTTTTTACTAAAGGTAGCGTGCTTTTGAAAAGGGCCGTATTTTGAAGAAGGCTCCATCAAGCATGTGGCTAATAAGCCTTTGCCAATGAAGTCATGTCCAAGTATGGGCCCTTTTAATCAGGAATGGGATTCGGTTGATGCAATTCAAGCACCCACACTTGAATTTTAAAAGCAATCGTGGAGGGCATCCTACCTCTCACCACCAATCCTTCCAGGACCTCAGTGGTTTAGAATAGAGAGGTAACGTCAATGAACCCTCCCTCTGCTCGCGATCTTTCATCCTCATCGGTCGCATCCCGTGCCAAAGCCCATTTTGGGCTTCCGCGGTGGTGAACCATTCTTCAAAGAAAGGTCGAGGCCTGAGCGAGGCTGTGCGTTGGAGAGGGGGACAGGTGACAAGTGGAAAGGGTGAACGTCGAGCAATGCTTTTGAAGTCAAACTTGGATTTCTGTGGATTTCTTTTGAACACCTCAAAAGGGCATGATCTACAACCAAGTGTGTCCCAAAGACATTGTGGATCTGAAAGCTATTGGTTTCAACCCGTGCGCCATGTCGATGCCTTCGTTGGCTTCACTGTCAAAGGAGTGGGATGCTGCAGAGGCGGTTAGGGAACAAGTCCGCTCTCACAGGTGTCTACTCACGTGGCAAGGAGCTGACAAAAAGGTAAACATGAAGAATGCTGCGCTCAATTACTCCGTCATCAAACCCTTGGCCAAGTGTTTAAAGGATTCCAACAATGAAGTTGGGATGCACCATGTTCCACAACTGGAAAGGCAGTCGCTAGTGCAATGTTTCAACGACCCTTTTTGTTCCGTTGTTTGCTTTCTCAGGTTGAAGTTTGGTTCGTCTCACTGGTTAAATCCACAATATGTTGGCACCATAGATATTCTGTGCTCAGGATCAAAGCCCTGTTCCATATCATGAAGCTGGAGCCTCCTCCGTTCAAGGAAATCAAGCAGGAAGCGAAGAAAATCAAAGCGTTTCTTGTGCTGATCAAAAAGAAGCTCACTCGCGACCAGGTCCCTAGATCCAGGTTGTTTCGCTTGCTTATGGCTCTGGTTTTTGACCCCGATCTGAAGGACAGGGTCTAAAAGCACCTGAGGTTTTAAAAGATGTTGAATCTAAAAGGTGTTTGGTGCATGTGAGCAGGTATCGAACAGAAGGGATGTGATTGTGTTTCTGGTGTTCATGCAGGAAGAGGCTTACGAAGAGGATCCATCAGGGTTGGATGATACGGATGATGAAGCAGTAGATACTTCAGAAGCTGAAGGTGTTGATGTAACCAAGGGCAATGGGGATCTACCACCTGAAGATGAATCTGAGGCTGAGGATGTTGTCATGGACCAAGATCAACATGAAGCTGAGGCTCCAGGTTCTGAAGTGGTGGACTATGATTTTGACTCCGATGGTCGCAGCAATGAGCCTGAACCTGTGCTGCCTGGTCCCAGCACAAAGACAATTATCATTGACTGCGAGGAGGAGGAAACGCAGGAGACTCCTGTGCCTTTGCCAGGGGTGGGTGATCCAATTGGTAATGAACTCGCGGAGTTGCAACGACAACTGGCAATCAAAAAGAAAGAGTTCACTGCTTGGAGACTTGATGTTGTTTCCAAAAAGGCTTTCCTGTTGTTTTTTGAGCCACAACTTCCAAAGCAATGTGTATTTTTGTTGCGTGTTGACTCTTGCATCTTTATAACCGTGGGTTGACCTCTTGGCAGGAAAGCCCAGAAGTCTCTTGGAGGAGGAGCCAAGCCTGACAAAACCATCTTGGTTGACGAATCGCAACCTTACAGTGGTGACAATGTCGACACACAGGTGCATCCTTTCATGGATGAGCTGGCGGACCAACTCGCCTCGGAGGAGGCCCAAGAAATCGAAATACCTTCAGCTCCAACGGTGCCTTTGAACAACAGAAACATTTAAATTTTGTTTGTTGTATGCTGTATTTGGTTGGACCCAGACTTGATCCTTCTCCATTTTCATGCTGAAGTTTTGTGGCATAGTTGTTTCAAAAACATAGAGAATACAATTCTCATTTGGTGGATTCTCGTGATCAGGTTCTGCGGCGGGACCAACTGGGCATGAAGCAAAGGCATGAAGAAGGAGAGGAAGAGGAAGGGAAGAAAAAAGGTAAAGGCAAAGGTCGTGGCCAGGGCAGAGGGCGTGGCAAGGGTAAAGGCAGAGGGAAAGGCAAAGGGAGAGGTCGAGGATCCCAGAAGAAGACAAGTGTTGGTGAAAGTGAGATGGCAGAGGATGAGGCTGATGAAGAAGAACCTGAAGATGAAGGTGAAGATGAAGGTGAAGATGAAGGTGAAAAGAAAGATGCAACCGAGAATCCTGCTGAAGAGCCCAAACAGCAGGCAAAGAAGACTGAGGTAAAGGAGGATGTGGAGGAGACAGGGGCAGGAGCCGCAGATGAAAGGGATGATAAAAAGGAAAATGGTTCAGGAGAGAGCCGCCATGTTGTAGAAGAAGAGAGGGAGGCAATGGAGGCTGCTGCGGCAGAAGTTGCAAAGCCTAGTGAAGAACAAGACTCCAAAAGGAAGATGGAGGAGGACCAGGAAGGCAAGAGCAGAAAAGCCCGTAAGACAACTGCTTCGGTGAAGGTCCTAGAGGCAGCTGAGGTTGAAGACCCCAAAGAGGAAAGAAAGGCAAAACAACCTACCCGAAGACAGAAGAGAAAACAGACTGAGAATGAGGATCAGGAGAATTCTGCAAAGAATGACCCAAAGGACAATGCTGAGGATGAACAGGTCCATGATGAAAGCAAGGAGGCGAAGAAGGGAAAGAGGCAGCGAGAGAAGAGTGCAAAGGCATGTAAAGGAAGCGAAGATGATAAGGAGGAGGAGGAGGAGAAGCATGGGCATAAGGGAAAGGGCCAGAGAAGGAAGAAGGTGAAGGAAGTGGTGGATGATGAAGTCAAAGCAAGAGAGTCTGTGGCAAAGAAACCAAACGAATTGAAAGAGAAGGAGCCAAAGGACCCAGAGACCGCCAAGGCTGCAACGAAGTCGAAAGAAGACAAAAACAAGAAAAATAAGGATCATTGTGGAGAAGAGGGGAAGAAGCAAACAAAATCCCAACATATTGCAGAGGAGGAAAACAATTCAGAAGAGAAGAAGCTTGCAAAAAGGACAAAAAAAGAGATGGAAGGTTCAAAGGCAAAGGGTGCACGGAAGAAACACGATGCAGAAGGTGCAAAGGAGGCAAAGAAGCAAAAGAAGAAAGGCGCAGAACCAGAGGAGGAGGCGGATGGTTCAATTCACGAAGAAGAACAGGTCTTGAACGCAGAAGAACAGAGTGGAGATCAGAATGGCACACATGTGGGGGAGGCAACCAAGGGAAAGGAAGAAGGCAGCAGGAGGAAGAAGTCTGAGAAGAAACCAAAAACAGTTGAAGCAGGACCTCAAAAGACAACAAAAGGCAAAGAGCAAAAGAAGAACGGTGAAACTACAGAAGAGAAGGGAGATGAAGATGAGCAAGGCATTCAGGGGCAGAACAAAAGGCCACGGAGAAGAATGTCAGTGGAGCAGGGTGATGAGAAGCAAAGATGCTTTGCAAGGCGAAGGTGTCCCAACACTGACTTCGGAAAAGCAAAATGGACGTGTTTGAAAGAAGCATTTGACCAGATCATCAAGCCACGCCTCAATGCTTACTCGGCACATGAGGAGCTTGGTGTACCAAAATCATGTTAAAACTCCCTTTGTCGATCTGTTGTAGTCTAGGGCTAAGAAAAGTTTATATTGTAAGCCAACACTTGACCCCAGAAAGTGTCTAAAGATATAGGGAAATCCCCTTCAAGCCAACTCACTGCAGGACCGTTTCTGGAAGTTTGCCTCTGAGCAGTGGGCTGACAAGTCCATCAAGGTTGAAGACATGCCCTCGATGGCCTCAGCTGCTGCTGAGTCATATGTAGCAGTTCTGCCTGCCTAGTTCAACCTGCAGGGTTGCTGCTGGCCACCCAAGTCATAGCTGCCCTGTTGCCACAATTCCCATTGTCCACCAGTTTTCCCATTATGCATTGTAAAGCTGAGGTGTTTTACAATGAAACTAAACACCATTATGTTCAATGAGTCTGACATTATCTGGAAATGATTTTTTTTTGCAACACCCGTGGTTAAGGACATTTTGCGCAGGTGCCAGCAGGAGCTAACTCGATCCACTGATACCCGATATCCAATATTTTCAGGACTTGTCCTGTGTCACTCAAACAATGATGTGACACGAGAAGGCTGGTGGTGTGATAGCTTGCTCTTCATCCTGGTGAAGGGTTTGAAGTCTGCCAGGTCTTTATCATGTGATATTCCAATGAGCCAACAAATCAATTGATTTCAATTCAACTCTGTTTGCTTTACTGAACTTTACTGTTGAAAGCATTCTGGTAAACAAAAAGCAGGCTTCTGGGGAATCACCGGGCTAGTGCCAAATCCACACGCTCCAGATGCTCATCCGCTCAAAAAGTGGCAGAAACAAACAATCAACAAACAACTGGCGTGACACAAACAATCAACTAGTTTTTAGAATTTTGATTGCGCATGACTGCGCTATATAGACTGAGCCAATAGCAATTCTGCCCAAGCGATCGCCACATACCCTGCCCCTCCCCGACCGATGTCTAGAGCGCCCGGCTATCTCATCCGACCAAGGTCCCTCATGGCACGTGGACAGGGCAACACGATCTACGATTCCAAGTGCGGCTACTCCAGCATGTTTACCGTATGTGTCTTCAATTGGTTGGAAGAAGCTTTTTGACACCTGCGGTGTCTGTGTGTGTGATATACACATGCATGCTCTTGAAAGACACTTGCTCTGCAGAGCATGTGAGTTGTGCTTTGTATCTCCGGTTGGTTTGGGTCACAAGCCTGGCCCAAAAAGGAACTTAGCTGGTCCGCATAAAGCCTTTCTACGCTGCCTCAACTTGTGATTTGCCATGGACCCTCAAAAGTCTGAGAAGCTGGACCTTCTTCTAAGACGACTGTATTGGCTTCAGGCTCCTAAGGCACACCCGAGCTAGTTTATTTTTGTGGAAAGCAGCAGTATACCTAATAAATCGATCTATACTTGATATATCTTGATATGATGATACATCATTTCTTAAAATTCTTTGAACCAGCGTCTCTCCCTGAAGTTCCTATCGGCTTGCATCATTATGCTGGCCCTCAACCGAGACGTGCAGATCCTTTCTGAGGCAGGGTCAATGCAAAAGCCATCTTGTCATAGGGATGCTGCCAATACCTCAGCAGCACAGTGAATTTAGCTGTGGTCTGAAAGGCTTTGCGGTATCTCACGAAGTCTGCCAAGCTTCCCTTCTTGAAAATAACACAGTTCTTGGTAGGCCTATGGATTTGTGGAGCTTTTCGCGGGAAAGGCATGGGTCTCCCGAGCCATGAGGAATCGATATGTCAACACTGCGAGTTTTGACATTGACTATGGACAACACATGGACCTTTTACGCGATGAAGGGTTCACGTTACTTTTCTGCATTCCTGACCAGCGAGTGCTGATTTTGACCTCGAAGACATGACCTGATGTTTTGGCAAGGTTGACGCTCCTGACCATTCTCAACTGCAAGTGGGGACATTTTTTGGTGGTTATTGCATTGGTGTGCTCATCGTTTGTATCGGTTTCTTCTGGTACACACCGTCGCACTCCTTGGGCGCCACTAGGAAGGGAACATATCCCCTTTGTGGTGGATGGCAATGGATTCGCATCCCGGTCTTGGGCTGAGGGGTTTGATCAAGGATGGAAACATGGTGAAGGTGTTTAGTGAGAGAGTGTTCAATACTTTTTGGACTGCTCAGGTGCTCTTTGCTAATCATGGTCATAACCTGCATGGACGGGACATGGCTGGTAGAGCAACCACGAAGCAGTCTGCTAATATGGCATCCACGGGTACGTGAGCTTTTCCGTTCCCTACCCTTTGTGTTGAACTCAGTAACATATGCTATTGGTGAAAAAAGTCAAAGCAACACATTCGTGCTTTTGTCCTTCAATTCTGTTGTTGGTAGTGGGAGGGTTGAGTGTTGAAGTTTGCAGGTCTATGAAGCAACCTGGTGGATGGGTTTGTATGGCTCCTTGTGGCCGAAACGCCACA